GGTCATGTGGGCAGAGGAGACCAAAATAGAACTTTTTGGTATAAACTCTACTCGCCGTGTTTGGAGGAAGAAGAAGGATGAGAACACCATCCCAACTGTGAGGCATGGGGGTGGAAATATCATGCTTTGGGGGTGCTTTTCTGCAAAGGGGACAGGACGACTGCACCGTATTGAGGAGAGGATGGATGGGGCCATGTATTGCCAGATTTTGGGCAACAACCTCCTTCCCTCAGTAAGAGCATTGAAGATGGGTCGTGGCTGGGTCTTCCAGCATGACAATGACCCCAAACACACAGCCAGGGCAACTAAGGAGTGGCTCTGTAAGAAGCATTTCAAGGTCCTGGAGTTTTTGGCCTAGCCAGTCTCCAGACCTGAACCCAATAGAAACTCTATGGAGGGAGCTGAAACTCTGTGATGCCCAGTGACAGCCCCAAAACCTGAAAGATCTGGAGAAGACCTGTATGGAGGAGTGGGCCAAAATCCCTGCTGCAGTGTGTGCAAACCTGGTCAAGAACTACAGGAAACATCTGACCTCTGTAACTGTAAACAAAGGTTTCGGTACCAAATATTAAGGTCTATTTTTCTATTGTATCAAATACTTATTTCATGCAATAAAATGGAAATAAATTATTTAAAAATCTAAAAATGTGGTTTTCTTGAATTTTTTTTTTGTAGATTCTGTCTCTCACAGTTGAGGTGTACCTACGATGAAAATTACAGGTCTGTCCATTCTTTGTAAGTAGGAAAAATTGAAAAATCTGCGGTGTATCAAATACTTATTTGCCCCACTGTACATTAAACATACCCTTTTGTAGTATCGAAGTCATGTGCTCTCCTAAAAGTTGTTTCTCAACACAGCTAATAAGTGGTTTCCTGAGATAATAAGAGGAAAAAAGGTGAGAAAGTGTATCCAAAAGCTGGAATAGATACATGCATATTCAAAACCCATCTTTTGATCTAATCCCCTTTAAAAACACCTTTAGTCTCACACCTCCTGAACTTTCTGCTTATCAGTTAACTGTTGAAAGCTACTGGAGTTGAGATTTACAACTAAAACTTTGGGTTATGATTTTAAAACTGTGCCATATGTATGTCAATATGGCTTTGGGTGGCAACCCTTGCATAGTGTTGACTTTTACTTTAATAGATCAACTTGTGAAAATCAACTGTGAAGAAAGTTTTCAATTTTATGCAGCAGGTGAAGAATCAAATGGAATAAAACATGAACAAACATTAAGATGCCGAGAGAGCCTAATGTGAAAATATTTCAAATAATGATAAGAAACACATTAGTGTGGAGATTTAGTGGCAATAACCTTTTGCAGTTAAATTTAAGCAATCAGCTGACACTGTGATTCCAGTATCAATCAGTAAACAAGTACAGGCAAATATACTATTCTATGTGTACTACTGTATATTTGGAATAAAATGCATAGAGGTACCTAATAGTATTGTAAAGTAGATGCACCCTGCTTTAATGGCTAGGAAGAAATTATGGCAATTAATTTTTGTTTACTTTTATTTTATGAAGGTTGGTATGCACATGAGAGGTAAAATTTCAGGATATTAATTATGGAATAGTCTGTTTCGTACATGTGACATGATTTTTGTTTCAGTATGCTATGTTGACACAAGTGAAAATTTAAAAAAAATTTACTGAGTGCTCTGGTCGACGTAGCTCACAATACGATCGTTCTCCTCCTCTAACCGATGAGCCACGTGATGCAAGTACTCAGTTACCTGCATATATAAAAACACACATATTCAGTACATTTGCCAATGAGAAATTGTAAACGCCATGCATTACAGTAGTGCCACTTACATCCCTCTCCTGCATCAGTCGCTGGCCCTCTGCTGCGTACAGGCGGTTGGTCTCAATCAAAAATCTTTCCTCAAAGGAATCTTTATAAACCTTAATAAAAGGTAGATGGTCAAGAGGTAAAAACAATGACACATTCAGTCCGTCTACTGATTAGTAATTGTAAACAGGAAATCAGCTACCTGCAGGTCTGACAGCATGCCCAGTAAACTCCTGAGCAGACTGCGGTCTACTGTCTCCCCATTCCGCTCCAGTTCTATCTGCTCCAAAATGCCATCTACTGTGCGCTTCTGAACTGCACTGTCATTCACAATGTGGATACGAAACAGTTCCAACCCAGTGTCCCTGCAACGCATACGTAACATCAGCCTCCTGAATACAGCTTAACAAAAAGAATAATCAGAAGAAACAAATTTTACCAGATGGAAGGGAGCAGAGAGTTCTGAAGCACATAGGTACGATCCAGGAAAAGAAAGATACTTCGGATCATTATCTATAAAGAGTAAAAACGAAACCACTGTCTTATTAGTGAAACAAAGCTAAACCAAATGAAGTGCAGTTTTGATATGGATCTATGACAAGCATCAACCCTTACAGTTTGCCTACAGTGATCCTGCCAGCAGCGATTCATTCGCTTCAGGAAGGAAAGATTGTCCAAAGACTCTGTGAACTTCATGTTAAGGAAAACACATTTTATTCCTTCATGTCATTAATCTAAAAATTTGGTGTTCAAGCTTGGAGGCACAGTCTTTTATGCTTATCTGTACTGAGTAACTGGAGGTATACTGACCTCTCGTGGGGAAAGACTGCAACAACACCTGAGCTGTGCCAGCAGAGACCAGACCTAAAGTTAACACAACTCCAAACAAAGCCGCCTTTGGAATCACTGTCAAAACTGCAGGTTTGTGATTTTAAAAATAGCTGCAGCACAGCTTGTATAAAACATCTCCACAGCACTGTTCACCAGTCACAAACTCACCTAATTATGTATCATCCCTCTCCCAAGCTCAGTAAATGTTTCAACCAGTTCAACACAATTTCCCAATACAGTCACACAAAAAAAGGATATTCTCTAAATTGGTGAATCTGGGCCTGCACGTGATCTTCACAGACCTGCCGTAGCTGCTTGTACAGTGTCGGGGAGACTTTATATGAACATAGGTTCTCCACTGCCTTCAGAGAGAAGTATTTCACAAAGAAAATGTGCCGGAAGCATGGAGAGGAGACAAGAACATAAGAGATACAGGTTGTTCCCAGTTCTATGCAAACACCAACAGCAGAATCAATGATTGATTTTAAGATGCAGACAAATGACATACTGGTTTTTCATTTATATTAGCACAGCAATCCACCTGTGGAAATGAGGTAGAGACACCAAAATAACAGTACCAAACACCAGAGATTGTTATGCTACACCCATCTCAGGAAAGTCACTCATCACTACAAGTTTATTTTAACCGTGAGCTGAAACCACTGGCAACTTCAAGTTTGTTTTCTATGATCTGCTGAAAGATCATGAACTGAAAACAATCAACTATAAAACAGGTGTGCTAGTCATGCCCAGTTGGTTTATACAAAAAAAAATCTATAATTCAACAGGCTATATCAAAACCTGGAAAAAAAATCTAACTCAGACAGACAGCAAACCTGATAGAGCTCCTCTAGATTGTACTTGATAGAGGTGCTGTTCTGAATGGCACCCACGGCATCTCGTAGTTTCAGCCACGTGTCCTCAGTGTAGTTCTCTGCTAGTTTTGGCCTGTCTGTTACAAAGAGCAAACAACAATATTAATTTTTAGATCTTATAAAGTTGTATCTGTATTGGACACAAATGCAAATATATACAATGTAAATTGATTTATTTTTTAACTCTTTGCCATTAGAGGACAAACAATAGTGAACTAGAGAGGGAGCACCTCCCATTTTGGACCCACAAGTAAAACAAACATTCACATTTTATGTGAAGGAAGGTGCATAAAGTAATTTTTCTGGTTACAGAACTTGTCAAAAATAATGAAAGGCTGTCACAGACTGTAAGAGACTTACTGCATATAATCAAACCAACAGCCAATACAAAAACTATTCATTTAAAACAAGAAGCGTAAGCAAGTATTTGCATTTAATGCCCGAAGCATACGTTTGTTTCTGTTCATTTGTGAGCTAACAGAAATAATTTCTTCCAAAAGATAAGGATTTGTTTTCTTTAAATGAACCTATTGTGCCATCACACATCGTCTTGAACCTTGAGATCTGAAGTAGACAACAACCACTACATGCAATTCTCTAATGGGACAACCAGAAGTTGAGACAGACATCATGACTGTCCTATAAATACCAATGCATCAGTGCAAAAATAAACAAACATGTTATTACAACATCAAGCCCTATTAAAATCTGACCTGAAGATTTCTAATCAAAGCAGTTGCGAAAGAAAATGGTTCTATATTAAAACACTTTATATTTTCTATCAAAATCAGAGACAAACAGCTCTGTACTGTATGATCTCAAAGACACATCCCTGTCGTCTTAAGGTCAGACACCCCCTGTTTTAACTTTTGCATTTCATCACTCAAATAAAATAACATTTTTAAAAATCACACAAGCTCATTTTTTTATTTTACCAACAGAATCAAGAAATGACTTTGTAACCCTTTCGGCTTATATTTAGAAACCAAAAGCTGGGATTAGGCATCATTTTAAGCCTATAGCAAGATATATGAAATAGGACATGTAAGAAATATGTGATGAAATATAAGGTGACTAATTGATTTTCTTTTGTTGAAATAAAAAAAGTAGCTTGTCACATTTTACTTTTTTGATTATATTTAGAATGTACAAGTATTTAAAGTCACATTCAATCACCAGCAGAGTAATTGAAATAATTGGAGCTCTCAACAGCAGATACTCAGAGTTTGTCTCCTCTCAGGTGTGAGTCTGACTCTGTTCACCTCAACTCTCATTCTGTGATCACTCTGGCAACCCACATAAACAACCATCTAACTGGTGTCAGTCAGTCACCCTCCACCTGCATTAACAGCAGCATTTACCAGCCTATGAACCACTCAGCTTCATGCCATCAGCTTGATCCTGCCTGAATCAGAAACCGCGCAGTTGTCCTAGGATCTTCTTCCAGTACACAACACCACTGCCACCATCCATTCATCTTTTTTATTAGCCCTCCAAAACTGAAGAAAAAAAAAATCTAATACCCAAAGGCTGCCTACAGTAGCTGGCATCCCTAAACAATAAATCACCATCAGTAAATCAGTGTCACCTATTTCCTTATCAGAATCTTTTACTTCATCATGTCTTAATCTGGCCTGACTGGTTGTCCCCTTGTTCACTTACCATTTAATTTTAACAATCAGTTGTGTTGTCTAAACAAATACAATTAAGAGAATAAATGTCACTATGCATTAGCAGGCATACTTCAAATTCTCTGTTTGATTATACAGTTTACACTGTGCAATAATTTGATCTGCTACTGTTATTACAGCACTCCCATGCTATTATAATTCTGGCCGTAGTGTTTACATACTGTTACACATTGTGCACGTCCATTTAAGGTCTGTACGCATTGTCCTTGTTTGTTTTATTTGTCATTATTTGCACTCTGAGCTTGGAGAAATGCAATTTTGTTCTGCAGTGCACTCTCCCTTGCATAGTCCTAAATGAAATGAATAAATGAAATAAAAGCTATTTTGACTGTGTTTTTATATTCTCATCTGGTCATTATATGTTAAGATATACTGACATTGCCATGTCTGTGTAAATGTGTTGTGGTACTAGTGTGGGTAAACCCATAAGCTATAAAATCAGCTGCATTTAGGTTTGGGTTTAGAGATATGGGGAAAAAAAGGTAAATTTGTCAAAATTAATTGAGAGTGGGCGAGCTCAAATGGAATCGGTGTTACCCCACCTTTTTCTCATCAAACAGCCTATTAAAACTTTGATATGACATTTTTATCAATCAATCGAAACTTTATTGCCAGGTATGTTAAAAGTAATTTGACTCCAGCTCAATGGCCCCTAATATGAACTAAATAAAACAGAAAAAAGGAGAAAAAAAAACACAGAATATCTGGTTAAAATAAGCTATCATATGTACAGTGGCTACATATACAAGCTAGTGCACTGTGGTGTTTGCTGTATCTAGTTACATATAAACATGGATTAACTGCTCATGAGAGTGATGGCCCAGGGAAGAAACTGTTCTGGTGTCTGGTTGTTTTGGAGTACAGTGACCTGTAACGCCATCTGAGACTTCACTATTACCTGCCAAACCCTCTTTCCCATTATGCTCACAAGCTGCATCTCTCTGTATACCATAAAAGATGTAAAATATAATGCTCTTATTTTGACATTGGGTTCAGCGTTAGCGGAAGTCCCTCCCATAGATGAAATCAAATAGTGTACTTATATTTTGGTTTTTTAAGTGTAAATCATATTGAGGAAAATCAAAGATCAATGTATTCTTCTTAAGCCACCCGCAATTTCCAAACAATCCAGTTGTATTTTGGTTTTTAAAGATCAGCCGAAATTAAGATGTTTCTTGTTTTTGTTGGTAAAACGATCTTTTTCCCATTTGCCCTGCGTTCATTCTAGTGGTGGAACCAAATATTTAGAACGTTCACTGACCTAGGACGATATAATGGTGTTGTTGTTAAATGGGACAGTTGAAAACAAGCACTGACAATACCTTTGAAATTTTTGATCACTAATTTCTTTGAAGCGCCAGTTTTGCCTGAGGCCACAGAGGAGTTCCTGGCCATCCCGTTGGTGTTGTGGTCCGTTATAGCTGAGAAGTTGGCTCTGTTGTCCTGTCGGATGTCCTCTGCCATTATCAGATTAGGTTTGGCTTAACGCTGTATGGCTCAAGTGTTTGTCTTAGTTAGAGCTGGGTTCTTCAGTCGCCTGTTTATTTACTAACAGCAACCCAGCCTCTTTGTTGAGCTAGTTGTCTTTGGTTGACAACACAGACAGTCGCAGACTATGTAAAACACATTTCCAAACAAACACTGACTAATGTAAGGTTAACTAATCAGAAAACATAACTACCGTCAGCTAAGTAAACAGCTAGCTAGGAGTATGTTATCTGACACTGCAACACTTTAGCTAAGTTACCAGCTTTCGTCTTCTCCACAACACTTTAACTTTAAAGGCTAGTCCATGCCAGCCATGACTACTTACAAAGTTTGACAAATTCAATTACTGTATTTTGAGACCGTAAACAAAAACCCAAAAGCGACATAGTTAACGTGTATATAACAAACCCATGGTGTAGCACACAGCTAGCTAGCTAGCACAACAAAATGGCTTTTATCAGACAGTTCATTTGGCCAGGTGCATCTTGGGTGAAAAGCGGCCGAGTTGTATTCAGAGACAGTTTGGACTATTTTTAAACTGTAATGACGTTAAAGTTAGGGGACCGAGGGATTTTCCACAAGCTTCTACCTGTTTGTTGGTGTAGTTCATTTTGAGACATTGGATCATTGCAGTTTCACTTTCTGGACTGAGTGACATTTGAATCCAGAATCTCCCGATTTAGTGCCACAATTACTGTTTAATGTATATGTTATACAGAATGGGCCACGGAAAAGTAGCCCGCCTCCAATATCTGTTAGCCAGGTACTTGTACTTAGGGCTCCGGGCTACTCTTCTGTGGCCCACCCTTTATTAATCCCCGTGAGGAAATTTCTTACTGATGGCAGCGCTCTCAGTCGCTGCCTGGCCACCCGGGTCAATTCGGGGTTCAATGTCTTGCCCAAGGACAAGTGTGGACTGGGGAGACCGGGAGTGAAATTATCAACCTTCTGATTGGGAGATAACCGCTCCACCTCCTGAGCCACAGCCGTCATAAAATAGTAGTGCTTTAACATTTGGAGAAAGGCCGTTTTTATGTCTCTTTGCTGCAGACATGGTATGTTCTTCATTTCACTTGAAAAATCAATATGTAGGCCAATTTGCCAGTGAGTGTACAAATTGTACCTATTTCTGTAATACCTTAACAGCGTCTTAAATGTGTTCGGAACTCGTCACCAACTTTCCCCTTTGCTAGACAGTCTTGAATGCACCCCTGTCATCTGCAACCACCAACAGCAGTTCAGTGCAAATGGGTGGTGTTTACGGTATACGGAAGACCTAACAACACCACTTAAGTCATATTTTCTGCCTGTTGGTGTGGCACTGACTACAGCACAATGGCTGTGTCAATGTTTAATTGTTACTATATGTCGTGGTTGCTGTTTTTGGAGTATTAATGCTCGTCTGTTTGTGGTGATCTCTTCTGCCTTACAGAGCGCTGTCTGCAGCGGTAGGTATGCTAACATCTCCAAGAGAAACTAGGCACGGAGTTGGTGCGCAGAGCACCGGTTCCATGGAGGAGAGGCCAGTTAGAAATCGAATGTTTTTTGTTCTGACAGACACCTGACGAGTGTTGTAACAATATGACTTGTTTGAGCACATTACTAAAAACCCGCCATTAACCACACAGAAAATCTAACATAGCCTTAATTAGCTTGTTAGCGAGCCTTGGCATCACTGGAGAGCGGTCTCGTTAAGATAATGTTAGCTAGTTTAGCTAGCTGGCCCAGAAGCTAACAAATATATTAAAAACCGAGCACATCCTCGTCACATGCTTAATGTACGTTAAAATACGAACAAATGGTTTCACTTCCAGAGAGCCCGTGTTAACCATTTAGCTTTGCTTTGTTACTTCCCTTAACCTCTGTGGATTTGCCAGGCTAGCTAGCGTTAACATCATTAGCTATTACCCACGTCACATGTTAGCTAGCTAATGTTTTCAATAATTGTTGAAAATTAACCCGATAACACTAATTTGGTCCTCCCTCCCGTTTCCCTCTTATTAGCATGTTATAAACGCCTAATAAATTGTATAATACAATGTAGAAAATTTCAGGAGCATGCACTATTTTCCAACAATTATCATTCCTCCTGTGAAGAAATATTTTACATTACATTATTACAGAGTTTTACTACATTGCCGTTCACTGTTATATAGCAGTTAACTTATTTAATAACTAAATCAACTAACAGTTTATAAAGTGTTTATAGATCTCTTTTAGGTGCTAGAGCTACTTGAAATATATTGAGAGCCTCAGCATAAATACTGATTAGAAAAGAGGTCCGACTTTAACTTAAATAAATCACCACAGTGTAATTCCCAGAAAAATATGGAATGCATTTACTTCCACACCACTTTCAAATCACACAGGAAGCACTTTATTTCCTTCTCTGGGACTGAATGAAGTGTCCACTTTTCAAAGCCAAAAGGGTCAATACCATATCTTAATTGAGAAAAAAAAACTTCCCTGTACTGGTAAGGTTATATATTAAGGCTACTAACAAGTCTTGTCATGTTAAGAATTAGCTTTTTTGTCAGAAGATAGCGAGAAGTGTTTGAATATTTGTTACAACTTTTCAGAGCCCAAGGTCATGTATTGCCTAACCAGCACTCCAAACCTTAAAATATTGAGCAGCGTTGGCCTTTTAAAGTTCACACTTGTGTGCTGTTATTCAGAGATAAATCAGATAGAGTCAAGCAACAGTCTGAATTGCCTAAAAGAATAGATTTAAAGTTTGTGATGAATGAGGGACGCACCCATGCATCCATATATGCTGTGATATTGCTGGGGAATTAATAGTGTATCACAATAAAATATTTTTCAGTATACTGTCATATTGATTGTTTTAACTTGTTTGCAGTTTTGTTGATGCCTGTGTGTTTTGTATTATCTAGTGTAGATGCCTTGGCTGAGATGAGTGTGAAGGCTTTTGAGCTTGTCCCCGCTGTGGAGCGGGATCTCCTCATGGGTGACAAAGCTCGCATCAACATTGAGTGCATTGAATGCTGTGGAAAGCACTTGTATGTGGGCACCAATGACTGCTTCATCCACCATTTTCTGCTGGACGAGGTCACTTCCTCTAAAGGAAAACTGACTTACTCAGCTCAGAAGCTTCTGCACAAATACCTGGGCCTCAAGAAACCAGTTACTGAGCTGCATGCTGCCTCTGCTTTGGAGCGTTTGATAGTGCTTTGCGATGGAATAGTGTTCCTTGTTGACATGGTGACACTGGAGACTGTGCCCTCGGCGGCAGGAGGTGGAGCCAAGATAAGAGGTGTGACAACGTTCTGCATTAATGAGAACCCAGTGAACGGTGATCCATTCTGTGTGGAAATGGGTGTACTCTCATCCAAGCGACGGACAGTGCAGATTTTTATGGTGTATGAGGACAGAGTGCAGCTGGTCAAAGAGGTGACTACGCCTGAGCAGCCTTGTGCTGTTAGTGTTGACGGTTACTTCTTGTGCCTGGCACTTACTACACAGTACATGATCCTGAACTACAAAACAGGAGCCTCCCAAGACCTGTTCCCTTACAACAGTGAAGAGAGGAGACCGATTGTGAAGAGGATTGGCAGGGAGGAATTCCTCTTAGCAGCGCCTGGTGGTCTGGGTGAGTCAGTGCAAAAACAGGGCATCTGCAGGTCTTTGAAAGTCTTAATCGATTTACAGAAGTCTTGAATATGTTTTTGTCTGCTATGGACAGTTATAACAGACGTTATCTATAAACTACAAGTGAGACAGTGGATTGTGCATGCAGGAGCTTCAGTCAGTACTAGGGGTGTGGCAGGCCAACTGAAAGAAGGGGTGCAGAGTCTTTTGTGGGTCCTCAGTCTCAGTAACTGAATAATATAACCTAATCAATAATCCTGCTTATAAACAATGTATAGATATCGCCAAAGGTATGTCTACTGAATCATAAAAAACAGAACCCAGTTCACAAGTTATTACTTTAAGCTCTATAATATTCCTGTAATGTCTCATGTGTAGTTCTTGACTTACATTAATAAAATATTTGCTTGAGAAAATGATCTCTCCACCCTCCCTTCAGGAATGTTTGCAAATGCAGAAGGGGCATCTCAGCGGGCTCCAGTCAACTGGTCAGAGAGTGTGATTGGTGCCACTGTGTGTTTTCCGTATGTGGTGGCTTTGGATGAGAGCTTCATCACCATCCACAGCATGTTGGACCAACAGCTAAAACAGACCGTCTCATTCAGGGATGGACACATTCTGCAAGACTTTGAAGGTATCATCACATGATTATTTCATAGGGCCCCTTTCAACCTATGTCCTCTGTTCAAACTGCATATTTACAAAAAGAAAATAGAAGGACTGATTATCTCTGTTCATAAACATCACTAGCCAGTCACTAATCTCAAGCAGAGATGAGGCACAGCCTTAAGAGGTCTGGTATTGTCAAACCTGTAGTATCAGCCACAACCTCTGCTGGCCCAAGACTTCAGACGATTGATCAGACTTGGTGCAGCTCCCTCTGGAGCCATAAAAAGCTTTATACTTGTTTCACATATGCAGCAGTAATCCCCAATACACCTAAAGTGACTTTAATTTGTAAAATTGTTGGAGTTCCCCTTTAATTTGTCAAACTTACAGAGATAATTAAAAATAGAGGGAAATTATATGTTATTAGCTGTCAGGTGCCTCCCTGGTGCACACATTTCCCTGAAAAACGAAGTTGGAAAACAGGCCTTGTTTATTCAGTACTCCAGGGAGTCGTTTTGGGTTGCTGGACTGAGAAACCTAAACCTTTTTACCAGAAAGTGCCTGGAAGGTCTGTAGCGCTATACACTGGGGTCTTGACTCTTAATGGGATCTGAAGCACTGGCAACTGAAAGGCTATAATAGGAAACTATTATAAAGACTCATTCACTTCAGTGTTGGAATAAAAGCTATTCCTCAGTGGAGTAATATTAAGGCTGGTGATTTTATGTATTTTCTTATGGTCAACAAATCCCAAGACAAAAACCAACAATGACTGTATTCTATTAACAAGTATTGTATGTGTACCCAAAACCCGATTTAGCCTATTAATGTGTGTCTTATAGCTCCATTGCTGCCAAAATACTACTAAAACACATCAGTGACCCACCCTCTTTTACTGGGTGATGTCTTTTCAATATATGAAAAAGATGTGTGGTAGTTTGTATGTAAACAGCTCCACAGGTTAATAACAGCAATCACTTTCACACTCTCTGGAGAGACTGATCATCCTTTGGAACATAGTTTGTATTGTAAATAACCCCTGTTTGTCTCTTCCATTTCTATGAAATTAGCATTATAAAATGAGGCTCTCTGTAACTGGTTGATGGAATATCCAGACAGATTATCCACTCTTCCCCCTTAGATCCTGTGCAATGCTATCATTTTCTTTTGTCCATTTTGAAGAATGTTTCTAACCCAATGGCCTTGGGTGTGCTAAGAAGTCACAGTGGTGTTTTACACACGTGTGTGTGACTCACCCTGGTCTTTCCTGTCTTACATTTCCTGCAGGATAGGCTCCACATTGTCACATTCATTGCAGCATACATTGAGCGTGGGTTGGCGTCACTGAACATAGTGCCTCGCTATCAGCTGAAGGGGGGTAATGGTGGTGGCAACTCCTACCCCCAGTCTCTGTACTGTTACAGCCCTGATGTATTCTGAATACTCTGGCTCATACAAGTATGGTTCTATGCATCCATCACCTCTGATAATCTCTTGTTTGTCAGACATATTCATATTCTTTGTGTTTATCAGAGTCTGTCCCTGACATTGTAAATATTGTCAAATGACTTAAGTCCAGAGATATGAGGTTGTGATACTGTATGTATCACAACACACTAACAAAGCTATGTAAAGAGAACTGCTTGTTCAACCATGCACAGTGGCCTGTGTCTTGCAGAAACTACTCTCCAGAGACTGGGAAAGTGAGGAGAAACCTGTCACTTAGTGTAATAGTGTGGCTCACTATACTAGTTTTTGGACAGCAATGTAGATCTATGGCACAGACAAATAAGTTAAATCAGACTCTGGATACAAAGGTATTACTTATTTGGGTAAATCCAATTCCCTTATTTGATCATTCCTTATTCCTTGATTCTTGATCCAGAAGTGATTCCAGTCTGCCATCTTGAAGGACATCCCAAAGACTCAATCGAGGGAAATGTGGATGCAATTCAGGGAATTGGAATTTACCCTTAGTAGAATACACTGATTGTTGGTTTCTGTCTTTTCATGGGATTTGTTGACAGTAACAAAAATATAGAAAATCAGCACCTTTAAATTTTAAAAAATAAGCAACTGAGAGGAGGTTAAACTCTCAGAGGGTTGGGACAGTCATTATTTGCTATTTGTCAACAATTAATATAATGGATACAGATGAAGCTCTATTTTTCCAAGGCTTTTAAAGGCTATTGTGTGACCTGCGAGTGTTGTATTGCTCTAGGGAAGGTCATTTTGGCTTCCACTAAGGCAGTGTATGTCCTGGTCCCCCTGCCCCTGGAGGGACAGATCCAAGACTTACTGGCCAGTCACAGAGTGGAGGAAGCACTCATCCTCTTGGAGGGAGCACAGAGAAATATTCCCAAAGACAAGTTCCAGGTAACAAATTGTGTGTTTTGATTTTCATGGATTAAGGATGTTGAAAAGATAAAATGTTTGGCTCACGGGCTATAGAATAGTACTGGTATCATAATAATCAATATGATAATAATTTTGCCTGGACTCAGATCCTTAAATTAAACTAATGATCTGAGCTGAATCACATTTATTGACACTATATTTCAAAAGTAAAAAGCACAGTTGTCTCATTGTCACTTTCTGCATGTACAGATTTTGCACAAAAGAATCCTCCAGCAGGCAGGTTTCATACAGTTTGGCCAACTACAGTTTCTAGAAGCAAAAGAACACTTCAGGTAAAAATCTGAGTCAGCGTTTGTTTAGTGATGGGATGAAACTGTCTGTGGCCAAAGTTCCCCTTGTTTCATCTTGATTGCCTCACTCATCAGCATTTTGTGACCTCATCATTATATTTTTAGGAGGGGTCAGCTGGATGTACGGGAGCTGATATCTCTCTACCCCTTACTGCTGCCAGCTTCATCTTCATTCACACGCTGCCACCCTCCTCTGCACGGGTTTGCAGATCTCAACCATCTGGCACAGGGAGACCAGGAGAAAGTGCTGAAATGCAAGAAATTCCTTATCAGTTATTTGGGAGAGGTGATTTATTTATACATAATTTTTCAATGAGTTTGCTTGTCAGAAGGTCTGGTAATACTGCATATTTATTACATAATGCTTCACCTCTGCGCACAGGTACGAAGCACAGAGGTGGCCAATGGCTGTAGGGAGGACGTGGACACAGCACTGTTAAAGCTGTATGCTGAACAGGATCACGAGAGCCTTCTAGACCTGCTTGCTGCAGACAATGCCTGCCTCCTATCAGACAGCATCCCATGGCTAGAAAAATATCACAAGTGTGTATGCTGTTGTTTTTGTTTTTGTGGTGCTCCTTTTAAGAATAAGTTATACAATTTCTAAAATATGAAAAACACTCAGAAAATCAGTGCATGTGAACACACAGAAATTTTACATATGTAGAAATGCTGTTACTGAAATGAACACACAAATACAATAGAACTGAATTGGCATCCACACACTCTGAAACTGTGGCTGCGCTCTGGAGGTTCAAATCTCAGTGCATGCAGCCGACGTGTTGAAGTGTCCTTGGGCAAGACACTGAACCCCCAAGTTGCCCCCGATGGTTAGAGCCATCCGTTGAGTTGGCTGCCTCAGTTCTGTACTAGGAACAAATTCCTTGTGTGTAACATACTTGGCCAAATAAATGTTATTATCCTTATTCTTAAATTCACCTTTTAATGTGTGTATGGTTTGACTGATTTCTAAAGAGTGATCAGTCAAAAAATAGTCATGGGCATGTCATCAGATTTACAACAGTGGTAATTAGCTGACATCTTGTTGACACTGCGGATCAGTATAATTTTCACTAATTATTGCAGTGACAGTATTCATAACTTAGGTGAGGCTTTGTTGGGTAAATACTTTGCTTGCCCCTCACTGATAATTACTGGTCTGTTAAATATATAACACTGTATCCACTTTAGTTAAAGCATTTTGTACAAAAATAGAATCTTGATGGAGAGCTTTTATTTCATTCAGTCTTTTTCCTCCTTAGATATTTTGCACTTGGGTTGCTTTATCATTATAATGGTCAGAATTCAGCAGCACTTCAGGTATGTACACCAAATGTCTCTCAGATGAATCTGCACCAATGTGATGTTTAGGAATTTAACATATGTCCACTTTCTTTTTCTGACAGTTGTGGATTCGTGTGGTTGATGGGGATCTGCAAGATTCCACAAGAGCTGATCTTTATGAGTACATTGTAGACTTTCTCTGCACCTGCTCCGATCTGGACCTTGTTTGGAAGTACGCAGGCTGGGCCTTGCAGAAGGATCCCATTGTAGGTTGCCAAGACCTTAAATAATATGGAAAATGTAACTGTGTTGTCAAAGATCATTAATGCCAGTCAGCATGGTGCAAATAAGATTTTTTTTTTTAAGATGGTTTAACAGTATAAACTAGTTGGATTCTTGTTTGCTTTCTCTTCCATACCAGATTATTTGTATCAGTTTTAATATTTGACCATTTTTCATTTTAAAGGATTATCATCTGATATTCTGCATGGAGTGGTAGAGCTATGGTTACAACCTAGCCTTTCTTTTTTGTTTATAGATAGGTGTTCACATCTTTACCAAGAGGTTGATTGGTAAAGATCAGTCAGAACTGAAACCTGATGATGTTGTCATTTACCTGGAAAAGCACAGCCAGGCGCTGCTTCTCTACTTGGAATACCTGGTGCTGGAGAGAAGGATACAGGTACAACAAAAGGATGAAATCATCAGTTGTTAATGACAAATAGGAGTTTGTAGTTGTGTAGAACTGGGGCCTCTCTCTTGAGTATGGTGGGACAAAAGATGTCCCCTCTACACTTTTGGTATTCAACCTTAAACATTTTCTTTCTTTATTTATTTTCTTTTGTGGCTGTATTTATTATTCCTTCAGATTAAGGCAAAATGTATTCTTAAATTTTCACTTCAGATTATTGAATCAGTTTGCAGTCAGTGTAAATATAATCTTTTTGAGGATGTGTTTTGGGGGATTTAGATGCTATTTATTTCATTCCAAGACCTTTCCTAAAGGAAAGTTTTTTTTGAATTCCGATTGTTTTCTTTCACGTCTGTGGATGCAGAAAGAGAAGTTCCACACACACCTGGCTGTGCTGTACCTGGAGAGGGTCTTGTCATTGCTGTCAAAGTCACCAACTGATGAAAAGCAGCTCCACGGAGCTAGAGAGAGGCTCCAAGCCCTGCTCAGGGAGTCCAACCTATACCGTGTCCAGTTTCTTTTAGGTGAGATGTGAGCGAAGGTGACTACACTTGAATATTTAGTTTTTAAGATGGCTCATTCTCTTGCTATTGCAAATTGGAGAAATATTGTTTTGCAGTATTATAATCAGCTTTCTGAAGATTTTAATCAGCATCTTATTCATTGTTTTCTTTTATTCTGCTCTGTTTAGGTAAGATAGAGAAATGTGAACAACTGCTGCTAGAGCGTGCAACACTACATGGAAAACTGGAGGAGCATGATAAAGCCCTGCATATATTGGTGCACAAGCTCAGAGACTTTCCGTCCGCTGAGGCCTTCTGTATATGGGCTTCATCTTATCGGGATTCTGCTTACCGACAGCAACTATTTCACCTGCTCTTGGGGGTGTATCTAGATGGAATCCCTTCTGGAAAACCCCAGACAGCAGCAGGAGGTGGCAGCGGAGACCTGGAGATGGCAGCAGTGGACCTCCTAAATCGGCACGGAGAGGTGTTCGATGCAGTCCGTGTCCTGCGCATGCTCCCTGAAGGCTGGTCGCTGCAGCTGCTGCGGCCCTTTTTAGGTCGAGCTGTCAGGGCCAGTATGCATACCTGCCGTACTTCCCAGATTGCTGTGGGGCTAGCTCGCTCTGAAAACCTTCAACTGCTACATGATAGGGTGAGAAACACATTTAACTGTTGGTTAAATTAAACATATTTGAATACATCTCCATGGGCATGTTCATTTGGCATTTTATTTACCAAAAGATTATAGTTACACAAAAATTGCAAAAAAAAAAAAAAAAAAAAGGTCATTTGCAGCCCCAAACCGAACCTCGATGACCTCTCCTAAAACTTGGAAATCTTCCAAATGTAAGCTTTTTTTTTTTTGTCTGTGTAGCTGTTGCAGCTTTCTTTCTTGAAATGAGTTGAAATATGAAGCAATCGTGTTTCACTAGTGGCTCTAAAGACAAAATAACAAGCATTTGGGACAGCTCTGTTAATTACCTCCTAAAATTCTGAAAAGAGAATAAGTATTAGTACTGTCATAAAATAAAATTCATTACTTTAGTTTCTCATTGGATTCTAGCATCTGCAGTGTGTTAGTTTTGTGCTCATTACTGCTTTAACTCACTGTAATTATTCTTTCATGCATTTTTTCCTCCAGTTGAAAGAGAGGAGGAAGCCCATTTTTGTGTCTGAGAAGAAAGGATGCCACCTGTGCCACAACACTTTCAGCGAGCCTGACGTGGTGTGTCTACCAGGTGGAGTGCCTGTCCATACTCACTGTGTCGCCCAGAGAGTAAGAGACCCTCTGACAAAGAGACAGTTAACTAATAGCAGTAAACATACGTGAGCCTTGACATTTCAAACGTGATCTGTGATTGGAGGCACCAAACTAAAGCAGGATGGCTGAGGACTGTGCGGATTACAAAAAGCACAGGACGCAGTTGCTGTAGTAGAACCTGCTATGGGGTTAATGAGAAACACAAAGAAAGCTGCACGAGTGTGTACGTGTGTAATGGGAGAAACGGGTGGCTTCAGTCTCTTTGTCATTTGCTACAGTTGTACCATGCTTTCAGACTGCAGGTCTTTAAAGAAGTTAAAAAAGAAACAGCTAAGTCACCATGCCCTTTAATTTATTTAAACAGAATTAATTAAAGACAGGTTTCTGTGCTTACCTGTGGGTTCAATACCGCTCCTGTCCTTGTCTTCGCTTCTACTGTTTTAAACCTGAATTTGAGAAACCGCTCAGACTGTTACAGCACACAGCATTTGAATTTTGTCGCAAATATTTCTGAAGCATGAATACTATCACCACTCTTATGGTTGTAGTCAAATTAACTCATGTGGGTAATGTATTAATTTTGTCCTAACTTGCACATTGCACTGTTAGATTTTAATGTGAAATACTACAAAGACTCATCAGTACTAATGGAAGTGGAGTCTTTTATGTCTGTCTTTTACTCTCTGAGATCTTGTCACACTGCTGCTTTATTTTCCTGTCAGCCAGAAGGGAAATGTGTGTTGTATTCACTGCATTTCAGTTGGTGACTTATTGGTATAAATTTGATCCAGAGCTGTTATTGAGCTTATTGTCTGTGGAGTAACAACAGTGTAAAACACTACATGAAATCTATTATTGCTCCACTAAGCATCATTAAGTGTAAGTGGCGATTCAGTACTCAAACTCCCTCAAGGACCACTCAGACTGACATCTAAACTTTCTCCAGTTAATCTTGACTGGTAAAATGTCAGTAGAGATGTGAAAGTATCATCAAATCATGTGAACTCAAGTTTCAGAAATTTTGTCTAACTTTGGATACCCAGTGAAATAAATAGAGAGGGATTTTCACTGCCTGTCTGCTGTCATGGATTCATTTTGTTTGGCCAGAGTACATACATAAAATGTGTTGATAAAGTTAAAATGAAACCTGCTTTTGCCAACACAAAACAAATGTAGGTTCGAGTCAAAATGTGGTGCTCACAAATTTAAACAAAATTTAGAAAGGTCTCTTTTCATTCTGAAATACTTTGCTCCCAATGTGTAAAATCTTGTTAGTTTTAATTAGAATGTTTGACAAATACTTTGAAATAATTATAAATCATCTGAATTATTACTACATGTGAGTAATTCTCTTATCTCACAGCTTGTGATGCAAGAGATGTCAATTTTTGTTTAAGCTGTAAAATGTATTTGACCACTAGATGACAGTAATATGTAAAATTTATAAAACAAATGAATCACAGGTAGAACATTATAGAAATGAGCTTGGCATTATGCTACTCTGTGCCCTGAATATGCATTTAAACAAAAAACTATATTGAGCTTTTTGGAACAAATACTCCAAACCTGTTCCATCTCCTTCACAGTCCATTAACACATACCCTGGAATTACTTAAAAGTAAATGCTTATTAAAATATTTTCCTAGTAATTACAAAGTTGTTACTCCTGCTGCTGCATTGGGCATGCTCTGACAGGGTACAGCATTGACAAGAAATGTCCAAGTTAAGCAGCTGATGTGGACAAAACGAATTCCTACGGCATTACTGACAAAAGTAATGAAAATCACAATGCATGATATTGCACCACACATAACCCCTAAACCTTTGTTAATGTTTGGAAATTGTGATAAAACAAAACCTTTATCATCCATGACTTTAATGGCTTGAGAACATATGCCTTGATGCATCTCAGCCCAGAGTGCTGGAGTTACAGCTTTAACCTTTCATTTATGACACCTCTCTCAAAAAGCAGAAAGAAATGGACGTGAGCCCTATTCTGTCATAATGAAGCCCTAAGATTCTTTATAGACTTGTCATCACAGAATACTGCTTTGTCCTTTAAGGCTTTCCAAATGTCGTGTATGTGTCAGGCAATAATAAAGTGCAGGTTGGACCTCATAAATGTTTCTCCCAGACTGACAAAATTGATGGGAGGTGCGTAAAGTGTTTGTGTTGCTAAATTGTGTGCACAGTCAGAATCAGGGACATATTCTTAAATGTCGGCTAGAGGTGATGCTTTGCTGGAAAATATCTACGTTGAATCAGTTTAGAAAAATTGTGATAACCAGTGTGGCAGAAGATGCATGAATTTCATAAAGGAGGAAAAAGAGGGAACCCTGATGAAAACTAAACATGGTTATGTTAAGCTGTTGTACACAGAATACACTATTTAGATCATTGTGTACGTCCATGTTTTCTTTTTAATGGTGAACACTGGTCCTAGAAATGCACCACTGCCTGTCTCACTAAGGATGAAGAAAAAGGGACCGTTGACAGCTCTGACTCCTCTAAGATTAGAAGATGTAAAAATTAATTTTTAACTTGGACACTCTGTTCAAGATCTACTTCCATTTTAATTCTGAAGGAGAGAAAATTGACCAGGATTCCCAAGTGAAGCCTCCAAGGACTGCATTGTACCGGCTGAAGACTTTTTTTTTTAATTTTCACATCAACCCACTAAGAGTCATCACTGTTGTGGGGTTTTTTTTTTTATTTCTCTGGTGCTGTTGCGACTCGCCTTCTGTACTTGTAACCCATTTCTGTAGGGGACTTTGTGCAAACATTTTTTTACATGGAAATCTGAATGTTGTAGATATTGTAGGTTTGACTTGCTTTCCATGACTGAAATTCACAGTTTATGCACAGCATCCATCTGAACAATTTCAATGTTGCTTGTGTAAAGGTCCTCCTAAACAAGGTTTCAAATTAAATAAAAAAAATGCAGTACTGTTGTGTAAAAAAGTGCTATTGTATTTTATAAATATATGTATACTGGTATGTATATACTGCATTTATACTTGTTTGTTGCTTTTTAAATCAGTGATGATGTGGATGGACTGTATAAAATGTAAAACCATCCCATTTTAATAAACATGAAACTATCAACTCATGACTCTGTTTCACATTTCATGCCTAAAAGTAATGTGTATTTTCCATGATTATAGTCAGTGGTATTTCTTTGGGCACAAATCTTTCTTCTGATTGTGGATCAAGTAAAATCACTTAACTACAAATTATACTGTACATTTGTTTCATCTAAAATGAGACATTTTGTGTATACAGTATAGTGTATCTGTTTTTTAACAATCATTTAACAAAAAAAATCCTCTTATTAATAAAACAGCCAGAAAGACTGCATATCCGCATCTATACCTTGGTGTGTTTGTGCACATTTGTTGAATGTTCTTTTTTTCTAATGTATATTTTTTTGCAATTATATGAATTATGCTCTGTTGTTTTCTAATAGATAACATGTATGCATCAACATGTACTAAGTATCGGGAAACATATACCTGTTAGTGGGAGCAGTCAGTTCCTTAATGAGCACAACTGGCTGTTTATACAACCACTCTACAATACTTTTCACAAATCGAGAAACAAACGAGTTTAAATCATGTCAATATCTGTGGAGCATTTTTTGTACTGTGTAAATTTGCCTACTGACCAACCAATATCAGTCACAGTCTCCATACATTTTTTATCTTTCTAGTCAAGGCTTTTATTAAAGGGTTGTTTTCCATATAGTATTATAAAAAGGTTTAAGCTGATTACACACTCCTGTGCAAATTAAAATAGGGTGGTGGCTTGTTATTATATTAAATTTTATTTATTGAAATAATAATGTAACCTGAATATTATGGAGAACACCTTCAGCTGATTGAAATAGCTCCGCCTGCCGTTAGGTCGCTGTAACTACAGGCCTGCCCGGCGACTGCTCGACAGAACACAAACGCCGTCTTTAGTTGACAGCCAAACTACCGATGCAGCAGAGTTGTGGAGCGAAACTAGGTCAGGCGCTCGGAAAACTATAGGCACATTAGAAAACCTTGCTTCGTAAGCTTTAGCCAATGTTTGCAACACTTCCAACACATTCTGCCGTCCTGTGGTCCAATGTGTTTTATCGGTCGCCCAGCTCGAAGGCAGTTTTTTTGTGTCGGTCCCGGCTGACCTGGGTAATCACCTTTTCTGACAAACAGTAAACGGAGGTGAAAGCCAGGTAAGAGTCCGACGGCGTCGACATGTGTCTTCATATTTTTCACTTCAACTTCCCATTAACTAGAACTTGTTAGCTAAGTAACGTTAGCAAACAAACAAGACGTAACGCTCGGTGCGGCTAAGCTAGATAATTCTATTTTGTTGGTTTGATGTGTTTGTGTTGTAAATTGGCACTTGTCATTGAATATCACCAATTTATGTGCAAAAATTTGAAGTTAAAGACAGCTTTTAGCAGGCAGAAGCTAACCTTTAGTTTATGGCATGGGTGTGGAATTGGTTGAAGCGGGGGGCGTGTCCTCCGTGTACAGTGTTTTCATTCTCAGGTTTGCAGAGTAAACTAAACAAATGTGTTTACTGGCACTTGGAACAGGAAAGATTATCTTTGTGCAGTCTGTAGTGTTCCCGATAGGTCTGGGCAATACACCCAAAGTTAACACCACAGTATCATGTTTGCATGCATGATTATAGGACATGACAGGAACCGTCATTGTGAGTACAGTAGCATCAGAAAACTCAAATATCAGATATACCGAACCAGTATTGATGTTTTCTGAAAGCTTTTTGAAGGAGTGGGCCATGTGGTATATGCAACGTTATATTGTGATAATAAAAATCCCCCACTTTGGAGTGGTCTTATTCCTTCCTTCATGCTCGGGTCCTCTACCAGAGGCCTGGGAGCTTGAGGGTCCTGCTCAGTATCTTATCTGTTCCTAGGACTGCACTCTTCTGGACAGAGATCTCAGATGTTGTTCCTGGGATCTGTTGGAACCACTCTCCCAGTTTGGGGGTCACAGCCCCCAATGTCCCTATTACCATGGGGACCACTTCTACCTTCACCTTCCACATCTTTTCTAGCTCTTCTTTCAGCCCTTGGTATTTCTTGAGCTTCTCGTGTTACTTCTTCCTGATGTTGGTATCGCTTGGGATTGCTACATCTATCACTACCGCCTTCTTCTTCTGTTTGTCCACCACTACTATGTCCGGTTGGTTGGCCATTACCAGTTTGTCAGTTTGTATCTGGAAGTATAGTGATAGCAAATTATTTGGTATGTCAGTTTGGAAACAGTGAACTGATTCTTTAACTTGATTTAATCTTTGTTTTATCCAGCTAAATCCCATCAAAGTTAGTAAGCTCTTTTTTAAGGGAGACCCAAACATCAGACACGTAACTAGTCAAAAACCAGGGTGACAATTTATAAAGGCTCGGATGAACAGAGAAAGTTACAAAATTGCCAATATTAAAGTTAGACTGAGCTAAAACAGTTACAGGATCATTTACTGCTGAGTTTAAAATAGCTTTGATTTAGCCAGTGCTACCAAATTCTTTAATTTAATTTCTCTCTGTAAACTATATCTAAATTGTCTGCAGCAGAAAATATGAAAGCATTTTTCCCCATCTCTGTCTGCCAGGGACAGCAGATATGTGTTTTGTCATCTAAGATTATGATTGAAAGATAAACTCCATGAAATGCATAGATGGCCAGCCAGCTCTTGAGTGCAAAGCACAATGAAGAGTTACTGGTTTTAAGCTGGTGACACGCACAGTAATGTCTTTTAATCAACAGTCCAACATGGAGATGTTGTTTCTTTTATGTATAGCAAGTCACAATAATTGTCACCGGTTAAGAATATGGCAGCTGGAAGCCAGGTTTTTCTTTCGTGTCTGAAATGAAGGTTTTCAACATTTTGCTTAAAAGAAAGACATTCATCACGCCAAACACCAAGATGGCCTGAGAAGTACTCCTAGTTGAGGCAGACACTAGGTTTTCATGTAGCAACCTTTTAGTGCTTTAACAATTAATTAATTAGTCATGAGAAAATTAAAGTGTCACATCATTTATTAAATAAAAATACTGTATACAGTGCCACAAATGTGAGGATTTCCTGCACTTTGATTCATATAGTTGTGAACTGAATGTGATATATTATTTTTAATATTTCATGTCCTAATAAATGAATGTGTAAATAATTGATTAATTAACTGATACTGAAAATAGTTGCAGTTCTATAACATGTATAATTTCACAGATATACTGTATATTCAAGTCAAGTCCATTTTTATTTGTATAGCCCAATTTCACAAATCACAGATTTGCCTCAAGGGCCTTTACAGTCTGTACAGCATACAACACCCTCTGTACTTAGACCCTAAAAACAGATAAGGAAAAAAATTTCCACAAAACCCATTTAACGGGGTAAAAAATGGGACGAAACCTCAGGAAGAGCAACCGAGGAGGGTTCGCTTTACCAGTACAGACCGACGTGCAGTAGATGTCATATTCAATGTGTCTCACCATGCATCAACCAGATAAGAGTTTATATATGGCAGTCTTGTTAATAATAGGGTAAATGGGGTAATGTACTGTATAGTCTGTACAGAGGCCTGCATAAACAGCTGTGCTAATTATGTGTCCTTCTCCAACTTAACTTCAGCTCAATCATCTGGATTTTGTTTACACAGGATGAAACGAGTTCTTGAAGGGAATGAGCAGGAGGATGAGGCAGCACCAGCGGTGGGTCCCGGGAGATTTGTAATCGGCCCCACAAGCAGAGGAGGGAGAAAGATTTGGAGGAGGAGGGAGACCACTGGGAGTGTCTGCCACAGGAGATCCTGCTCCATATCTTCCAGTACCTGCCTCTTCTGGATAGGGCTTATGCTTCTCAGGTACCTTTGTGATAATCTCCCTTCAGTCGCTACACTTGGTGGACAATATTTAACGGGAAACAGCATTTGTTGTGGCTAACCGGAAACTTGAACGGTCAAATGGTGGCTTGGAGATCATACTGATCCTTGCTGTCAGATGTGCTAGATGTGGTAGCACCCTGATGCAACACTGTCACGTGTTCTGTGGAGTAGTGCGCTGAAATAACAAGGCACTACATTCAAGGCAGATGTTTTCATTATTGTTGCAATATGATTTTAGTCCACCAGCGGCAGTACTGAGTACAGCGCTGCAGAAAGTATTCTGTTGGCATTAGATCCTAACACTGGGGAGTAGATTTTGAGTGAAGTGAAGTTGTTTCCCTGAACATACGCATTTCTCTTCACCTTAATCTGAACATAACCATTCGAGTGTTAGGATGCCTAACCTGACATTAATATACTTAAGTTCATGCTGAGAGGTTTTTACAATAATGTTCTGATCACCTTTTGTCCTGATAAAATCAAAGTAATGGGAATATTTCCATCCGCTGAATGTATCATGTCCATCTTCCAGGATAGCTTACTGCTTATAGTGCTGCTAATATCCATGTGTTCATGTGCGACGACTACGGTCAAATTTCAAATCAATCTTTACTGTAGTGACAACAAAAGTAAAGTAAGAAGTGGTTTTTGGAGGGAGTATCGGTAATATTATCACTGAAGTTTTATTTGTAACTTTTTGCACTACTAGTTACTGGGGAAAGTAATATTATTACCATAACGTGTTACAGCCCAGCACTATGTGAAACATGGAAAGTACAAACTTAAAGTAAATTTAAGCTTAAGCATAAACTTTATTGCCAAGTATTTTAAGAACACAAGGAATTTGATTCCAGCTCAGTGCCCCCCAATGTGCACAACACAAAAACAAAATAAATACACAATATATACAAGTTAAAAATCACAAGCTAGAAGAGCAACATAGACTAGCTGTTCATCATTGTAATAGCCCAGGGAAAGAAACTGTCCTTGTGCCTGGTTGTCTTAGTGCACAGTGACCTGTAGCGCCGTCCAGAGGGGAGGAGTTCAAAGAGTTTGTATCCAGGGTGTGAGGGGTCTGCAGTGATCCTCTCTGCCCTCTTTCTGACCCGTAAGGTGTACGGATCTTCCATGGAGGGCAGGCTGGCACCGATGATTATATCTGCAGTTCTGACTGTCTGCTGGAGTCTGTTCCTGTCCTGTTGCCGAGCCAAACCAGACAGAGATGGAAGTGCAGAGAACAGACCCGATGATTCCCTGTAGAATTGAATCAGCAGCTCCTGAGGCAGGTTGTTTTCCAAATTCAGGTTCACTTCAAAATACATCAACTTTTGTGCTTTTGGTCTTGTTATGTATCTATTTATACTACTGCATAATGAACTAAATAAATCTCATTTATATTGATCATTAGATAACCATTACATGATGTGATTCTAACTTAACTGTTATTTAATCTCTAAATTATTGTTAAACTGGTCAGTTGGGCTCTTAACAGTGAGCCAGGGATGGATAAACAAAGAAACAGTAAAACCTGATGTTTTTCTGTTCCAAAACATCTTGTACTCTTGACATTTGTGCTGAGATTAACACTGTTTGCCTAAGAGTAAATACCGGTAATGATTTCTCCTCTTGTCTGTGACTCTCAGTTGTCAGGAATTCAATAAGCATTTTTGACCACAAACCCTCTTGTGGAAAGTAGTTTATTGCAAATAAGATTCAGCAAGAAAGAGCTTGCTAAGCAGTTTTTGAATAACCAATGTATGCTCCTTAAGCTTGTACATCTGAGAGAGAGAGATCACATGGATCAGATTTTAACTGGTCCCCCCGCAGGTGTGCCGAGGCTGGAATCAGGCTTTTCACATGCCAGAGCTGTGGCGCTGCTTTGAGTTCGAGTTGAATCAGCCAGCCAGCTCATACCTGAAGACCACACACCCGGACCTCATCAAACAGATCATCAAAAGGCACTCCAACCACCTGCAATAAGTCAGCTTCAAGGTATGAGCTAATGGTGAGATGGAAAGGTATTGTTTGTGGTCAGAGTGGTAACGGTGATGAAGACAAGTGTGACACTGGGTTTTCATTTTTGTTCCCCATATTGTTCAGGTGGACAGCAGCAGAGAGTCTGCAGAGGCCGCGTGCGACATCCTCTCTCAGCTCGTTAACTGTTCTTTAAAAACACTGGGACTTATCTCCACAGCTAGGCCCAGCTTCATGGAACTGCCCAAGGTCAGCTGCAGCAACACGATTCTTTCTGTCAATTAAAACCACTCGTCATTTTCTTTGACAGTCAGTTTTGGGAACAACCCATAAACAAAGTGGTATGGCAGCACATTTGTTTTTTAATTCGTGCATATAATGTAAAGGTATGAGTGGGTTCCTGTTTTGTTTGCACCGTGTTTGTATCCCACTGCATTTCACAAACATCCAGACCAAGGCGATATGGCAAACATTTTTGGCAATAAAAGCAGGCGGCAATGGAAATGTATAGTATAATTAGTAGTCGGTTGCTAGCAAAGTCTGCATGTCCCATTGCTTGAGGTCTTGATAAGTAAAGCTAGCATTTAGGGCTGCCTGAAAGATTGACCATGTTTCCTAAAGAAAAGGATGACTACATGTTTCTTGTCTCACTTCATCTCAGCACTGACAGTGGTTTTTGTCAACTCCAAATCGCTGTCCTCCCTGAAGATCGATGACACACCCGTGGATGACCCCTCCCTCAAAGTCCTGGTGGCCAACAACAGTGACACACTCAAACTGCTGAAAATGAGCAGTTGCCCTCATGTTTCACCAGCAGGTACTGGCAATCAACTAATTATTGGCAAGAATTGAGTTCATCAAGCACGGTGAGGCCTGACATGTAGGTGCAGACGTTTTGGACATCTGTGGAACATCTGTCTGTTTTTTAGCAGCTCGACTTGAGAGGGAATGGTGGAAATACAATGAATATTAAAGCACATTTATTAGTCAGACTAGTGGTATGTGTTAATTGGACAAAATTGTCTTGGAAGGCATGAATGGAGATGGGAAATGAGATGTAGTGTATCACTTTATCTTCTTCCTAATAAAAACAAAAGTCAACTGTAAATAAAATTAAAAAAAATGATAGGGGACATAGAACAGTGATGACCAATACTGCCTGATCTTTTCCTCTGCTCAGCCTTAATTTACATTTCTCTCTCTCCCAGGCATCCTGTGTGTGGCTGATCAGTGCCATGGCCTGAGAGAACTGGCTCTCAACTATCATTTGTTGAGCGATGAACTTCTCATCGCCCTCTCCTCAGAGAAGCACGTTCACCTTGAGCACCTTCGCATCGACGTGGTTAGTGAGAATCCTGGCCAACAGTTCCACACCATCAAGAAGAGCAGCTGGGACGCTATGGTGCGTCACTCTCCTAAATTTAATCTGGTTATGTATTTCTTTCTCTATGAGGACGAGTTTGGCCCTTTCTTCCACTATGAAATTCCTGTTACACATTTGTACTTTGGACGCTCTGTCAGTAAAGACGTGCTGGGCCATGCTGGGCTCACCTGCCCGCGTCTGGTCGAACTGGTGGTGTGTGCCAATGGGCTACGGCCGCTGGATGAAGAGCTGATCTGCATCGCCCGGCGGTGCACACAGCTGTCGGCTGTCGGCTTGGGAGAGTGTGAAGTGTCTTGCAGCGCCTTTGTGGAGTTTGTCAAGATGTGTGGAGACAGATTGACACAGCTATCCATCATGGAGGAAGTACTGGTTCCAGATCACCACTATGGGCTAGATGATATACACTGGGAGGTGTCAAAATATTTGGGTCGTGTCTGGTTCCCAGATATGATGCCTACCTGGTAGAGCTCTGGAAGAAGGTGTTGGTTTGTATGAGTGTATGTGTCTGTGTGTCCTAATCTTTCTCCTGATTTTGGAGAAAGGCCCTTTCCCAGTCACCATATGTACCTTTTTTCTCCCTGAATACATTTGCAAATTACATCTTTATATTTGGATTTGATGAAAAATTACTTGCATTTAACCTTGATTTCAGCTCAACCATAATGTTCAATGTATGTAATGTTTATATTTATATGTATATTCATCCCTAAATACACTCATATTTACAGTAGTACCAGTTCCCTGAACCCTTTATCATGGACTGTGAAACCATGCAGATTGATTGTGTAGTATTGTAGGAGTATGCAGGGATGAAACTCCAATAGGAATGTTTGGGAATAAATGGAAAATATAGGTGGTGTTTTCTAGTGGTCTTCCTAGGTTCTAATTACTGTATTATGTGCAGACAGTCATAATATTTTGCCATATCATGAGTGAACAGAGCAGATGTGACCGGAGCAGGAGCTTGGTTCGCATTGCTGGCAGTAAGTCAGACTTGTTTCCAGTGCATGTTGGACTCCGGCAGGGATGCCCTTTGTCACCAGTTCTGTTCATCATTTTTATGGACAGAATTTCTAGGTGCAGCCAGGGGCCGAAGGGAGTCTGGTTTGGGGACCACAGGATCTCGTCTCTGCTTTTTGCAGACGACGTTGTCCTGTTGGCTCCATCAAACCAGGAC